ACATATACATATACATATACATATACACATACACATACATATACACATACATATAAATACTGTTGATGATATAAATCCTGCATTACCTTAAGGACCCTAAACTATGGGACTTATGGTATATTCCTTATTATGAGAAATGCAGGCTTTGTATCATCAACCGTATACATATACACAAACATAAACATAAATAGACACATATACATATACACATACATATACATATATATATATACCATATACATATACACAGACATATACATCTACATATACATAGACATAGACATAGACATATACAATACACATATACATACACATACATGCATGCATGCATACATACATACATACATACACGCCCACTTTGCTTCAATGCTCCCAAAGGCCCGATGCCTGACCAAAGAGTCTGCGAAGCCGCCGCCCAAGCCGGCTAAGAAGGCCCAGAGGGCCTGGGGCTTAGGGTAAGGAGCCTCAATATCTGGTCCATTCTCGCAGAGATATCAGGGGGATTTCGATATTTGTTATGATGTATATTATGCTAGAACTCAGCGGGCGGGGCATGTTATCATACAACTATATAGGGACTCTGGCGTCTCTGGCCGATCCTTCTGTGAGGCTTCGAGAAGGCTTCATCCTGGTCTTGCCGGGGTTTGTGTGGACGTTATAGGCTTTGTCGGTTCTGCAGGCCTCGCCTAGGTTTTAAAAGGGGGGTTTCAAAGGGTTCTGGGCTTTTCTTCGAACTTTGGGTTTGGGTATGTTGGTGTCAGGGCTCGGGTGTTCAGTTGGTTTGGGTTGTGGCCTTGAGGCTAAGGGCTGCAGATCAAAAGACTATAACCCTAAACCCTAAACCCCAAATCCTCAACCCGCAAACCCTAAATTCAAGGCTCAAAGGCTTCGAGGCTTCATTGTTTGGGGGGGTTTAGGGGGAACCTTTGAAGCGTCGAGGCTTCCCACTCCAGCCTCCCTTTTGTTATGAGGCTTTCGAAAGTAGGGTTTAGGGTTTAGGGTATCGGGTTTAGGGTTTGGGGTTTAGGCTTTGGGGTTTAGGGTCTGGGGTTTAGGGTTTGGAGTTTAGGGTTTGGGGTTTAGGGTTTATGAAGGCTACCGAAAACAACCAGCAACCGGACAAGCGACGGGGTTCAAGGTCCGAGTTAGGGAACAGGGCTTCTAGCCCCCTTCAACCCTGAATCTTGGTGGGTCTAGTGTCGACCTAAACAACCCTAAACCCTAATGGGCCCTAAACCCTGAACTCTAAATTACTAAACCCTAAGCACCCTAAACCCTAAACCCTAAACCCTAAAAGCCCTAAAAGCCCTAAAAACCCTAAACCCTAAAGGCGACACGACCCGCGAGGATCTGACCCTCCACACCAAGGATCCTCACAGTCCATGCGAAAGCCTCCGTGGCTGAAGCCGGCATCCTAGAAGAAGTCTATAGTCTAAACCCTGAGCTCAAGCCCAAAATACCTAAAACCTTCAAATTCGGAACCCTAAGCCTTAAACCCTAAACAACCCTAGCTTCCAAAACCGAAACTCTAAGCCTTCCAACCTTGAATCACGGAACCTTGGCCTTGAACTCCCTTGTCTAAGCCCCTCACATCCACGTCCCAAGATCTTCAAGTTCCGGTTTTAGGGATTAGGGTTTAGGGTTTAGGGTTTAGGGTTTAGGGTGGGTACGTCTTTCTGGCGGTCTTTTGTTCGGCCGTGAGCGCGTTGTGCTCAGTCTCTACAAGCGTATCCTGGGCCTCGGGCGTAGCAAGCCTTACAGTTTAGGGTTTAGGGCTGGGGGTTTTGGGCAAGTTGAATTCTCCCCTTAACCCTAAACCCTACATCCTAAACTATCGGGGACAGGATTTAGGGTTTACGGCTTTGGTGTTGGGATTTGTGTTTAGGGTATAGACGTCTCTCTCCGGCCCAGGCAACTCTGGTGCTTGGACAACAAGGTCCTTAAAAACGGTTTAGGGTTTAGGGTTTAGGGTTTTAGGGTTTAGGACTTTAGGGTTTAGGGTTTAGGGTTTTAGGGTTTTAGGGTTTAGGGTTTAGGGTGGGCCCCCGCAGCAGCCCTTAAAGAGCGCGTCAAGGAGCCCCTACAAGAGCTCTCTCTCACGGGATTCTCTTCTTTAGATCGACTCCGGGCCTGCGAATTGCCTTCAGGGCTCGGGATTTGGGGATCTCGGGGCTTCGAGTTTACGAGCTTCTTGTGACTTCCTTGGGAAAACAAAAGTAACTACAAAACCCTTGAGAATCGTGAGAGAGCTGTCTTGCACTTCAGGGCTCTTCTGTGGCGGAACAACATGGACCTGGCCCAGGCCATCTCTTCGCGATGTGGCTGGGTCGGGGAAAAAGACACTGGCAGCAGAAGCTGCCATGAAACGACTGAGGGGGTGGGGGGCACTGGGCTCTTTTGAGCGCGCGTCGCCGAAAATGCCCGAAGCTCAGATACGCCCAAGATGTCCAGCGTAAGATGAGCGCAGCCGCCAAGCGAGCAGGGCCGAAGAAGACATAACCACGGCCCAAAGCACTGCGGCCAGCATGTCATCGAGCATCGCCTGTAGACCAATCCTGGAATCTGCCGGACAAACTTTTCCGGTGTGCCGAGCCTATGTCCTATGATGTATCATTATTCAAAAATAAGATGGAGCTTAGCGTATTGCGGTTTAGGGTGAAGGTAAGGCATTAAGTCATTAGGTGACCTATTATGGTCAGCCTGCAGCCTGCGGAACCTACCTGTCTCAGTATGTGAACCATGCACCAATGGAAACAGAGGCTACAACTCTCCAATGGCAAAGGTCTACTCTACTTTACGGCCTGCTACCCGGTAGTAGCGAAGGCTACAATTTACAACGCGCTATGACGGTGGAAATGATGTACTATGTCATGCTAACTTGATTTCACAAATATGGGCCTGCTTGTTTGTACTTCCAGCTGTTGAGGGTGCGCAAGTTAGCTGCAGCATGTTGTGAGCTATAAAAAAACTATGTACTAGAATCACTCGTCTGCATTTCTTTGTAGTCGACCAGACATGGCATGTTAACTTCGCCGAGTGTCAGCAACCAGAACATGCCGGCGCCTGGCACCAGATTTAGAAATGCCGAAACGCAGAGAGGCACCAGCACATCGAAGCAGGGACTGTACCTCCAGGCTCTGGCTTCAGGACCTTCTGTGGTTTAGGGTTTAGGATTTAGGGTTTTTAGGGCTTTTAGGGCTTTTAGGGTTTAGGGTGCTTAGGGTTTAGGGTTCAGGGTTTAGGGCCCATTAGGGCTATCATTAGGGTTTAGTTATGGTTTGAGGCTTCTCCCTGAGGTCGCGCGCCTGCGGCGGAACTTATGGACGAGAAGCCCACCGCAGGCGAAGATGAAGGGAATTGCAGCGAGCCAGTAGGCAAGGCCAATGATGGCGGTGACACCTGCGTTGTAGAACTCGCCCTCCCGCAGCCGGGAGGCGATAAAGTCGCCCTGACCCCATAAGATGGGTGCTGCGGCAGCAAGCACGTAAGGATAAGGAAACCATCCCTTCCCCAATCCTTCTGACAATGCAGCTGCCACGCCAGACCTGACATTATCCTCGAACGCATCAACAGAGCCGAACCACTGCCGGACGCACGCTGTGAGCACTGCCTTGTCGCAAGGAACCTTTCGGCCCTGTGCATCCACATGGCCTCTCTCACAACAATTTGCTTTCGTGTTGCTAATGGTGAAACTCTGCAGTTGGGTCTTTATAGTGTCAATCTGCCTGTAGTGGCTCCGCCAAACAGAGGTAACCGCGAAACACCCAATCCAGGCCAAGACCGAGAAGACCATCGTTCCATGAGACGCGTTCTGCCAGGGAACCGCGGTCTGAGCCAGCTGCAATGCAAAGAGACCTAGGTTCTTGAGTGACCCCTAAATAATAAGGGTACCCTTTTCCCTAATATTCGGTTTTAATAAGGAGGCCCCAAAATAAAAAGGGCAAAAGGGTACTACTCGGCAACCTAGAGACCGAAGCAGGATGCCAGAGAGCTGGGGCCGAGGATGGTAGGTCTAATGAACAGCTTCGCCGCTTTCCCAGTCTCGCGACTTTTCAGGAAGGCAGCCAATTCGAAGATGCACCAAAGCCTCCAGTCGGAGCAACAACTTGAAGGTACACAAAAGTACACCCAAGCGCGGTCTTGCTGCTGTCATGGTTGCTGCTGGCATTTAACGTTTGCCTTGCGCGTCTGACTCGTTGAAGTATGACCTTTCCCACGAAGTACTGTCATTGCTATTGTGCTTGTTACTTGTGAAAGATGTCTGCTATGTCTTTAAATCCTCAGGTGCTGATGATCTGTGAACGCTTCCGGTTTTGTCGTTCTTGTTGCAGGTTGACTGCCGCAGGCTGGATTGGAGAAGCTCAGGTTTAGGGTTTCGGGGTTTAGGGTTTAGGGTTTAGTTAGGGTTTTGGATTTAGGGTTTCAGGATTTGGGGCGTAGGCTTACCGTTCAGTGTCAGAAAGGCCTAGCCTCTCAACATAGCTGGGGTCCCACAGCACCAGCATGGAGTCGGAATTCTTTAAGAAGGCACAGATGTTCAGCACACCTTCCAACTTCAGGCGCTGATCAGTCTGATGGATGCAAAGCCGATCCAGAAAAACCTCGTCACGACGTTCACAGAAAGTCAAGCCGATAAAGGCAGTCAGCATCCCCATGCAAATCCCCCAGGGTCCGAAAACATAGGCTCGCTCTTGCTCGATCATGGGTTGCCGGTCATAGCCATGTAATATGTTGAAGCTGCTCAGTACCACCATGACCAGCGCCAACAAGCTTCCAGAAGCAACCGCTGCAGGACCGTTCTTCAGCACGAAGAGGGTAGCGATCTTCTTCCTCGCCGACCCATGCCAACTGTGTGAAACAAACTGGGAAATCCTGACGGCCGGCTTGCTGAAATGGTACAAGTCTATGAGGGTTTTATTCCGCAGAGCTTGCCCGAAGCACCTCAAAACGTGATGGCTGGATGTCACCCTTTGAATTGTCGGGGAAGTCAAGGTCATGGTGCTCAAGTGCTCTGCTACAACGCTGCGGTAGTCCTGGACATCTTGCATGTCTTCTTCCCCCGGCTGTGGCACCTCCCGAGGCCCAACTGGATCACGTTCCTTTGGAACCGGCTCGTCACCAGTAGATTCCTCCGTGCTGACTTCTGCCAAAATGCCACTAACATCAGGCATGCCTGCGTCATCCGACATAGCTGGCACAGCTACGGCCACCAGCCTGAAGCCAGAAGTGGCAACACTGGCCCTAGACCCCGAACCAAGCATCTGAAGTCCCATGTCTGGTCGTAAAGTCCGTGTGTAGGCGCAGGATGTGTTCCTCTATTACCTGGTAATCCTAAACCCTAGACTCCTGTTCTGATTCGCAACACGTGGTAGCCACCCCACAACTGGAGGAAACCGAGCACTCTGCATCCTGCACAAGCAAATACGGCCAAGGGATCTGAGGATTGAGGAGCTAACGAGGCGGATCCCTCAAGTGCATCCACAGGCAATTGCCTTGACTGCGCTCCGTTTCCACCAAATCTCTTCGCTGTTGCAATGTTCTCTACTGGATTGTCGTTGCCGCATGCGGCTCTTACTTTTGTCGTGTCTTCAGCACGGCCGGTTTAGGGCTTACCCCGACAGTTGGAACATGAGTTTAAGGATGATTAGTGCTGGGATTCCCTCCACTTTACCTTACCAACTTTCTGGATTCTACTTGAAGGGAGTTTAAAATGTGGTGCTTCGGATGTCGTCGCGGGACTAGAACTATGCTACCAATAGTTTCTGAGGCTGCCACCATGCCTAGACGCTTGCAGCTGACAGTGGCCCACAGCACAACACCGCAAAGCTGAGGTTCACAGATATTTGGGGTTTCCCTAAACCCTAAACCCTTAAACCCCTAAATCCCTAAAGGGGTCTAAGCGTTCAGGATAAGGAGGTTTGATAGAAATTAAGGGATCCTTTTTTTGGGCCTAGGGCCTGCCAAATTGCAGGGATCCTATTACTTTGGGCCTGGCACAGAGCGTTCATGCTCAAGCTAGTTTAAAGCTTGGGTGGGTCTTTCGGGGGTGGTGTGTTAACATAGGGATGTGTTAGAGTATTGTAGTAACAAAAACAAGAAGAGGAATAGTACTAATAGTCATCATGATAATTGCAAAAATGATAAGTGTTGCTAGAAGAAAAAGGAGAATAATGACAACAAGGAGCCCCAAGGAATAATGAGAGTAATTATTCATGCTTCTGTGCCAGGGGAGCAGAGTGATGACGTCCGGCGGACAGTTCCAGTTGCAGCTCCATTTCGCCGAGGGAGAAGGCCGTGCAACCCGACAAAAGGCTTCTTAAATCAGCCCTCAAAGAAGCCCCTGAAGGAGAAAATAGCACTTAAAGCAGGCCCGAAAGCAGCCTTAAAAGAGCCCCCAGAAAGGAGCCCCTAGAAAGAGCTCTCTCACGGAGTCTCTTCTCCGGATCGACTGTGAGCGCAGGGCTTAGGGGTTCCAGGGATGTAGGGGCCAATTCCATGGGAAACTCCTGAGAACCGTGAGAGAGCTGTCTTGCGTTTCAGGGATGGCTCTGATATGACGGAGCGACAGTACCCGGCCATCTGTACATCTGATAGCAGGATATCGGCAAAAACAGCCTCCAGCAGAGCCTGCAGTGAAACATCGAGCTACTAGGGTGCGGGGCCCTTCGAGCCCCCACCCCAAAAGCTTCAACCGAAAATTAAAATCACTTAAATCCAAGATGTGGGTCTAGAGCCCAAGCTGCTCAGCATAAGATGAGCGCAGCCGCCAGGCGAGCAGGGCCGAAGAAGACATGACGAAGGCCCAAAGCACTGCGGCCAGCATGTCATCGAGCATCGCCTGTAGGCCCATCCTGGAAGCTGTCGGCAAGCAGCCCTAAACCCTAAACAATGAATGACCCTAAAACCTAAAAACTTTTCCCGGTGCGCATGAACGTTATGATCTATCATGTAAACGGTAGCATGAGGGGCTTAGGTTACTGTGGGCTAGGGTTTTCAGGTTTTAGCTGGCCTCCCTAAACCCTAAACCCTAAACCCTAAACCCTAAACCCAAAACCCTAAACCCTAAACCCTAAACCCTAAACCCTAAACCCTGAACCCTAAACCCGAAACCCTGAACCCGAAACCCTGCTTTCCATGATTAACCTGGACCCGGACGGAGGCGACCTGTCTCAGTATGTGGACCACGGAAACAGAGCCTACAACCCTCAAAGGGCCAAGGCTGATTGATGACATAAACCCTGCGTTACCCATAAAAAAATATAATAAGGAGTCTACCATAATTCCCATAGTTTGCGGTCCTTAAGGTCATGCAGGATTTATTTATATCATCAACAGTATGTGGTCTGCTACACTGCAGACCCGTTGCGATGCACCAGGACAGAGCATCATGTGCTATGTCATGCTACTTGCCTGCATACCTCTTCCTCAAGCATACATGCAGTGTTTGAAACTACTTCCAGTACATGAAGCTGACTTGGTTAGATGTCACTGTTGGAGGTTATAGAAATATAAGTATGCTAAGACACAGAACATGGCTGATATCGGCATACACTGCATACCGCAGTAATACTACAGTATACTCAGTAGACGGCACTGAGACTACAGTCGACTAGGCCCTGTCGTTATGTCGCCGCGTGTCAGCAAGACGAACATGCCATTGCCGGCAACCAGGGTCAGAAACGAGGCAGCGAAGACGGGCACCAGCGTATCAAGGCAGGGACTGTACCTACCGGCTCTGCTTTCGGAACCTTTTGGGGCTTGTAGAGGGGCTTATAAAAAAGGTTTTGGAATTGGGGCTCGGGCCCAATACCCTTCCTTTAAGAGGCTTGGGAGCTTGTGATTTAAGGCTTTTGGGGGGAGGGCCCGGGCTTCTGGGCCGTGTCCTGTGGCGGAACTTGTGCACGATGAGCCCACCGCAAGCGAAGAGGAAGGGAATTGCGGCGAGCCAGTAGGCAAGGCCGATGATGGCGGTGACGCCGGCGTAGTAGAACTCGCGCTCCCGCAGCCGGGAGGCAGTAAAGTCGCCCTGACCCCATAAGGTGGGTGCTGCGGCAGCAAGCACGTAAGGATAAGGAAATCCTCCCTTCCCCAATCCTTCTGACAACGCGGCCGCCACGCCGGACCTGACATTATCCTCGAACGCATCAACAGAGCCGAACCACTGCCGGACGCATGCAGTAAGCACTGCCTTGTCGCAAGGAAGCTTTCGGCCCTGTGCATCCACATGGCCTCTCTCGCAACAGTTCGATTTCGTTTTGCTAATGGTGAAATTCTGCAGTTGGGTCTTCAGGTTGTCAATCTGTCTGTAGTGGCGCCGCCAAACGCAGACGATCGAATAACACCCAATCCAGCAGAACACCGAGAAGAAAAAGGTTCCATAATAGGCATTGGCCCATGGAACAGCAGTATGAGCCAGCTGCATGGCAAAGAGACCGAAGCAAGATGCTATCGAGCTGGTTCCCAGAATTGTAGGTCTAATAAACAGCTTCGTCGCTCTCCCGCTCTCGCGGCTTTTCAGGAAGGCAGCCAATTCGAAGACGCACCAAAGCCTCCAGTCGGAAAGACCCTTTGAAGGTATGCAGAAGTGCACACCAAGTGCGCTGTCGCTGTGGTCATGGTTGCTGTTGGCAAATGTTGGCAGTGAACATTGGTCTTGCATGTCTAACTCTCTAAGCATGGTCACTCTCACATAGTACTGGTATTGCTTGTTTGTTGAAACGTCCTTTACATGTGCTTCATCCATTCCTCTACTGATCTGTGAGTGTTTCCTTTTCGTCGTTGTTGTTGCAGTTTGACGGAAAGCCCATAAAAAGTTCGGGTTTAGGGTTTGGCTTTGGGTTGACGGCTCAGGTTGGTGGTCTTAGGTTTAGTCTTGGGTTCACTTGGCTCAACACGACCCAGCCTCTCAACGTAGCTGGGGTCCCACAACACCAACATAGAGTCGGAATTCTTTAAGAAGGCACAGATGTTCAGCACACCTTCCAACTTCAGACGCCAGTCAGTCTGATGGATGCAGAGCACGTCTACGAAGACCTGGTCACGAGGTTCACGAAAAGTGATGACCAGACATGCGATCAGCATACCAATGCAAATCCCCCAAGGTCCGAAAACATAGGTTCGATCCTGCTCGAGCATTGGTAGCCGGTCATAGCCAGGCAAGATGTTGAGGCTGCTGAGTACCACCATGACCAATGCCAAGAAGCTTCCAGAAGCCATCGCTGCAGGACCGTTCTTCAGCACGAAGAGGGAAGCGATCTTCTTCCACGCCGGCCCATGCCAACTGTGTGAAACAAACTGGGGAATTCTGACGGCGGGTTTGCTGAAATGGTAAACCTCTCCCACGACTTTTTGTCGCAAGGCTTGCCCAAAGCACCTCAAAACGTGATGGCTGGACGTCACCCTTTGGACTGTCGGTGACGTCAAGTTCATCGTGCTGAAATGCTCAGCGATGACCCGGTGGTAGTCCACTCCTGCTTTTGGCGCCTTCTGGGCCTGGACAGGGTCGCGCTCTTCTGGCACCGGCTTTGAGATCTCTTCACCCAGATCCTCGGTGCTCACCTCTGGTAAAGCGTCGTGTACATGTAGCACAACCGCGTAAGGTGCAACCACGACGGTGTCATCCGACATAGCTTGCATAATGTAAGGGCCGTAGAATTAGAATAGGATGTGATATGTACTGCTATAATCATAACCGGAGCCCTAAGGAATAATATTGTAAGGCTCGTATATTGGCTCAGGTTGGTGGCAACACTGCCCCCTGGACTCGGAACAATAAAATCCCAGACCTAAACCCTAAGTGTGCCTTGCTGCTTCGTTGCGTGGAAGACCCCTCCCCCCCCCAGCACTGGAGTTCAAGCACGGCATGCGAGTGGCGACGTGTTAAAGGGAAGCTCGAGGACTGTGCCTCTTGCAGAAATTCTTGCAGTTACGGGCAGCTTGAGGGTTTGATTTAGGGACATGTAGGGCTTACGCTTTGAGGCTTTGGGGGTTTCAAGTGTGTGTGTTTCGTGTTCAGGTTTGGGAGTCTCGTATTGGCGCTCGTGCGCGTGTGTGCGTGTGTGTGTGCGTG